AACCCATACATATATGGTCCATTAATTTCCAACAAAGGAGCTAAGAATACACAATGGGGAAAGAACAGTCTCTTCAGTAAATCGTGCTGGGAAAACTGGACAGCCCCATGCAAAAGAATGAAACAGACCACTAGATTACACCGTAAATAATTAACTCAAAATGGATTAAAGGCTTAAATATATGACCTGAAACCAGAAAACACCTAAAAGAAAACACGGGCAGTAAGCCCCTTGACATCAGTCTTGGCAATGAGTTTTTGGATTTGACACCAGAAGCAAAGGCAACAAAAGCAAAAATAAACAAGGGGGATGACATCAAACTCAAAAGCTTCTGTACAGCAAAGGAAACCATCAACGGAATGAAAAGTAACCTAGAGAATGGAAGAAAATATTCACAAATCATATATCTGATGAAGAGTTATTATCCAAAATATATAAAGAACTCCTACGACTCAACAGCAGAAACACCAACGAAAAGTGGGCAGAGGATCTGAACAGCACTTTTCCAAAGAAGACATCCAAATACTCAACAGGTACATGGAAAGGCACTCACCATCACTCATCAACAGGGAAATGCAAATCCAACTCACAATGAGATATCACCTCACACCTGTTAGAATGGCTATTAGCAAAAATACAAGTGATAACATGTATTGGCAAGTACTGGAGAAAAGGAAGCACTTTCTCTTTTTTTTTAATAAACATATAATGCATTATTTGTTTCAGGGGTACCGGTCTGTGAATCATCAGTCTTACACAATTCACAGCACTCACCATAGCACACGCTCTCCCCAGTGTCCATCACCCAGCCGCCCCATCCCCGCCATACCTCTCCCCTCCAGCAGCCCTCAGTTTGTATCCTGAGGTGAGTCTCATATGGTTTGTCTCCTCTGGTTTCGTCTTGTTTTCTCACTCTTGATGGAAAGATAGGTTGGTGAAGCCACTATTGAAAACAGTATGGAGGGGCCCCCCCAAAATTAAAAACAGAACTACCAGATGATCCGACAATTCCACTTCTAGGTGTATTTCCAAAGGAAATGAAAATGGGCTCTCACAGAGCTATCTGCAACCCCATGTTCACTGTAACATTATTCACAGCAGCCGAGATATGGGAACAGCCTAAGTGTCGGTCCAGAGATGACCAGATTCAGATGCGATATACAAATACAACAGAATGTTATTCAGCCATGAGAAAAAAAAGGAAATCCTGCCGTTCTTGACAACACAGATGGACCTCAAGACATTATGTTAAGCGAAATAAGCCAGAGAGCCAGACGGAGACAGACAAATACTGAGTGGTATCATTCATTTGTGGAATCTTTAAAAAAAAAAATAAAATAAAAGTCAAACTCTTGAAACAGAGAGTAGCAAAGTGGTGGCCAGGGGCTTAGGGTGGAGGAAACAGGCAGAGATTGGTAAAGGGTACAACTTTTATCTGTAAGATGAATAAGGCCCAAGGATCTAATGTATAACACAGTGACTACGATTGATAACACGGTATTATTTAATTGAAATTTGCTTAAGAGGAGGAAATGTAAATGTTCCCACATACACACACATGAAGATAAACATGTGAAGTGACAAGTGTGTTCATTAACTAGATGGTCAGGATTCTTTCACGGTGTATGTGGCGTATCAAAGCACCACAATGTACACTTTTAGTAGCTTACAATTTTGTCCATCACAAACCTCCACGAAGCTAACAAAAGAAGGAACAACACGTAGAGGATCACTGGTAACATGTGCTCTCCAATACTCGTATCAGCAACTGACAGTTCATGGAATCCGCGTCTCCTCTTCTTCCCTTCGCTCATGAGTCTTATCACCTAAGCCACGATCTTTCCTCCCCCTCGACACCAACATCTTCTACCCCCTTGGGCTTCTTTCATGAAAATGTCTCTGTGTAGTTTTTCAAAAAGATAAGGAATTTTCAGCATAGTGTACAAGGCCCTTCACATCTAGCAAACACCAGCCAGCCCCCAATGACAGTGAACTAGAGTCAGTCTTCAACAATACATGGGAAGAATTAAGTGCAGGCTCTACATCCATGAACAGCACCAGCGTAAATTGGAAGGGCTTTGCCACTGTGCTTCTCCCATGATTCCCCTCCCCACAGCAGCCAGGGTCAGGGCTAAGGAGTTCCCAAGACTGCTCTTCAACTTCCAAATGCAGGAGGCTCCAGGGAAGACAAGAATACAAGGCAGGGAAATGTACCACCTGGAAACAGGGGCTCAGAACCCCACTTAGGCCCCTCTGAGAAGCAGCTGAGACATTCCCCTTCCCCTCAGATCCCCCTAGCCAGCCCTAGGTGCAGGTCTCAACTGGGACAGGGTACACTTTGAGTCCCGGTACCTGGGAAATGCATCTGAGGCTGACATCCCACTTAACCACTTTACCAGGCTGGTGAGGCTTTCATTTCTTTCCAAAAGTATGCCCCTCGATAAAGGCACTTTTCCCGTTGAGGCTTGAAGGACCACAGACCAAAGAGCATGCTGGGCCCCAACTCATTATTGCTTAAATGATCTGGAGATTCTAAAAGCCATTACCCAGAGAATCCACCTAGCCTGTCCTCACCAAGGGGACCCACTATGCCTCTGCACATGCATGCCCTCATTCTCTAAAACTCACTCCAAACACAGCTTCCTGTGACTTTTCCAGACTCCTCTCTGAGGGACAGTTCCCTCTGCCTTGGGCACCAGGGACTCACAATAAGAACCCCAGCCAGAGCTGTCAGGGTCCTGTCCCTATCCCACAAGGGCAAGAGAAAAATGCTGTCTAGAGCTTGTTTTATCTATTTTTGTAGCTGCTAAAACACTAAGAAAAATAATCTAGAATCCAGTTGGTGCTCACAATATTTATTACATGAATGGATACATCTAAAGATTTTCACATTGGACATTTAATCCAAACCACAAAAGTAATTTTTAAGACATTTTTGCCATGGATGTCATGAGCTAATAAAAATTAATTCTTTAAAGTAATATGGGTATGGATATTTTTGTAAGTATCTTTCCACGGTTATGAATGGTCCTCTACCTAATTGTACCCAGGAACCAACCACTTGCCCAATAGTCACTGACACCTGCAGAATACGCTGCTGGGAGTGAGTGTAACACCTCCCTGCCTACCACTCTCTGCGGGAGACAAACTTCCAGAGTAACTGGAATGATTAAGGGTGTTAATATCATGAAGTGTCAGATGCTGATACTGACAAATTACTGATGAATTCTGACAATCAGCTTTGAGGATTGGTGCTAATTTTTTGCTTGTTGCCATGAAACATGTGACTGCATTTATAAAAGACTAAGTCTTAAAATGTTCCACTCCAATGGCAATTAAAACAAACAAACAAACAAACTGAAGTGCTACGAGTAAGAGCTTTCCTGTGTAACAGAAATCTCCTAGGACTGGACGTCTAACACCCCAACGATACTAATCTTTTATCAGGTCTGCAAGAGAAACTTGGGTTTCTTTCCATTAACGCATGAGGGAGTGGACAGCTAGGAACAGACATGTCCAGGAAGCAGGGTCAGAATAAGTCTGAGCATATAGGGAGGAAGGAAGGAGGGTGTAGAATCAGCCTGCACAACATTAATTCCAAGCTCTAGATTCCAAGCCAGGACCTAGATCTGGAAATCACAACACTCTAAGTAAGTGAGACATGTCATTTCCTCCAACTGAAACCAGAAAGGATAATAAGGTGAAAACACCTAGACACTTAATCCTATCCTTATGAAATACTACATATTATTTCTGTGCTATTCTTGTTACCACACATCAGAAGGGAACATAAGTAAAATCAAGAAGCCTTCAAAAAAGAAAAAGATAAGGGGCACGTGGGTGGCTCAGTGGGTTAAGCCTCTGCCTTCAGCTTAGGTCATGATCCCAGGGTCCTGGGATCGAGCCCATCGGGCTCTCTGCTCAGCGGGGAGCCTGCTTCCCCTCTCTCTCTGCCTGCCTCTCTACCTCCTTGTGATCTCTGTCTGTCAAATAAATAAAATCTTTAAAAAAAAAAAAAGAAAGAAAAAAAAAAAAGATAAAAAAGAAGTGGTCAAGGGGGCGGGGGAACCCCACTCATAAGAAGTTTAATAGTAGTTTTAGACCAAATGAAAGATAATTCTAATTTATATTAAACTAATAAACTTAATGAATATCACACCAAGAGATTTTACAGTCCAAAAGCTATAGATCCAAGAATAGTTTAAAACAATGTGTAGCTAACACAGGCAAAATAAGGCTCTGAAGGAAAGCCCGTGAACTGGGTGCTCTCCCTACTGCGGATGAAACCCTACCCTCTCAAAAAGCACTCGGCACCGCCGGGCCAGAGACAGACCACCAGATTAATCAGATGACTAAACCACAACTCTTGACATTTAAATCAAATGTCCCAAACAATGTTTTAGGGCTGAGAAATCACTCTGTTATACGGACACCTCTTTTTGTCCAGTACCTGTTACTACAGGACCCCTGGACCTCTGAGCCCACAGGCTATCTTCTGGGTATAGTTTTAACACGCATGAGCCGATTTCCCATACAAGCAAGCACAACATTCCCCAGAATCCTTTATCTGTTTGCGTGTTTTCACAGAGACTTATCTTCCCAAGACCGAGGTCAGAAGGAACATTTACTCAACTAAAAGTAGCCTGAAGGCAGCTCTTGTTTATCTCCTGCTCCCACAGCAGCACACAGAAGGCCTCGCTCAAGGCCCGGCTCAAGACCACCTGTTGGGCCGCAGAGCTGGGCGCCAGGGCATTTACAGTGGGGGACACCCACCATTCTGCTTCCTAGCTACCCCATGCTGTCACGTGCTGACACAGAAACAGCGATCTCATTTTTGAACCAGAGTCCTTGGAAACTTGAACGTGATGTGACTCAGTTCATCGGGGCCACACTTAACTGCCATTTAACTTGTGTAAAACCTACACTACAGATCAAGTACTGGACTGAGACAAAAGCACCAACTTCTTGCATCTGTTTTAAGCAGGGCACTGCACGCTTACCTTTGGCACTCAGTTGTAAGAGATGACTGGCAAATGCAGAATGCCTCAAAAAGTGAAATTGCCAGCTGGTGACACACTTGAAGTTACAAAGCTGTAGGGATTCTCCAAATTCTTGAAAAAAAACCCCAAATCTCAGCAGAGAATTATGATCTGGGAAATCACTCGTATAAAAGGAACATAGGAAATCTGAAAGGAAACAAGAAAAAAAAATATTTATTAGGAATGCCTGCTTGCAAGAAACTGCATGATTATTTATTTGCCTGAAACCAGTATTTTTTTTAACTTTTTTTTTTTTTTTTAGATTTTATTTATTTACTTGACAGAGAGAAAGATCACAAGTAGGCAGAGAGGCAGGCAGAGAGAGAGGGGGAAGCAGGCTCTCCGCTGAGCAGAGAGCCCAATGTGGGGCTTGATCCCAGGACCCTGAGATCATGACCTGAGCCGAAGGCAGAGGCTTTAACCCACTGAGCCACCCAGGTGCCTCATGAAACCAGTATTTTTAATACACCCCAGAAACAGGGTGCTTTGTACCTACTGACCTCAACCCAAACAAAATTATTCTCCTCCTCTACCTTCAGCTCCCTGCTATCAGCTCTGAGGCTCTATGGAGGGAAGAGATGGGGAAGGCCGGGACAGGTGGCTGCCAACAAGGGACCTATGTTCCCAAGATTCCTCCAGCCCTCCTCCCCGAGACAGCTCCTCCCCACACACTTCAACCTGCCAAAAACAAAAGAAAGGTGTGCCAAGTGGAAAGGAAGCAAGTCTGAGAGCCTAATTAAGGCAGAAGGGTTGCAGAGAGCATGGATATTTAAATTTAGAGACTCGTTCCTCTTTTGGAGGTTTTCCTGCACTGGCCATTTACTGAGAGGTGGAAGGCCCCCCTACTGGAGCCATAGCCTTGCACTAAAAACATCCCTGTAGGAAATCTGAGAATAGTATCCTGAAACTACAAGAAAGCTGAGACAAGAGAAGCCTGACAGAGGTGACCGGCAGCCTCTCCCTCCTGCTCCTGGACAGTCCGCTGCTGCCTTATGTTCTCTGAACTTGGGTGGCTATTTTCAGTCCTTGCCAGCATTGTTGAGGGGTCCCTGAAGCTCTGCGGACCTCCAAGAGAGTTCAGTGACATTTTTAATTACATTTCAAACCTAGAGGGGCTCTGTCCTGACAGTTCACTCAGAGAAGATATATTAATTCATCCCTGGCATGATTGTGACCCAAAACATTAAATACCCCATAGAAAAATCAAATTCTATTTTAGTCAAATAGAAAAAGATAAGTCAAGTAAAACTTCCATAAAAATGTTATACAGCAAGTTCATAAATTTTGATTAAAAAATTAATTCCTCTTTGTGCACTCTCTAGCATTATTTTAAGGGCTGCATGATTTTTTTCAAGATTTATTTATTTGAGAGAGAGAGAGAGAGAGAAAGAGAGCAGGGGAAGGAGGAGGGGCAGAGGGAGAGAAAGTCTCAAGCAGACTCCGCACTGAGTGTGGAACCCAAGGTAGGGCTTGATCTCTCAACCCTGGGATCCAGATTCACGCAGAATTAAGGGTCAGACACTCAACCACTGAACCACCCAGGAGCCCCAGAGGCTGCATGACTTAAAAAAAAAAACAAAAAAAACCGGGCGCCTGGGTGGCTCAGTGGGTTAAGCCTCTGCCTTCGGCTCAGGTCATGATCTCAGGGTCCTGGGATCAAGCCCCACATCGGGCTCTCTGCTCAGCGGAGAGCCTGCTTCCCCCTCTCTCTCTGCCTGCCTCTCTGCCTACTTGTGATCTTTCTCTCTGTCAAATAAATAAATAAATCTTTAAAAAAAACAAAACAAAACAACACAATTTGACAGGGAAAAGGTGATGCTGGAACACAAGAGGAATACTAGATTGAGGCAAGACAGTAAATGTGGACCTGGACAATTACACCCTTCCCGCTGCTGAATGTTGACGATAAAATGACAGGGTTTCCAGAAATAGATTTGGAATCTGGACTCAGGTCTTGGCCAAGCGTTGTATTTCCTTCTACTGTGCTTACCGAAGAAAGCCACCAAGTAAACAGTCATGCCCACAAATGCCACCTCCGTATTAGTATTTTCAGAAGTATAAGCTGGATTTTTTAAATTTTAACTGAAAAGCGAATTTAGCTGGAGTTGGATCACCTAGGCCATGGTGAAGGGGTGGCTAGAAGAGCTGTCTGGGCATAAAGCCCTCCCCCTCTGGATGCACTGTGCTCTCACCAGTGAGATTTTTAAACTCTCATAATACCCTTCCACAATAGCTATCAACACCCACTTTTTCACGAGTTAACTTTCTCCGGGATGTGAAGGTTTTCCTTAACAGCCTTCAGGGAGGAATGCAGGCCTCTGAAATTCTAGACCCACCACAGCAACGGCAAGCCCTGTGCCCCAGCCGACGACTTCACCAGTCCATAGCTGAAGAACTACGGGCGGGATCTGGAAGCCCAGTCCTCTGATACTCAGTGTCATGGGTAAGGCGGAAAATCCAGGTGGAACAGAGCAGAATTTGAACTCATGGAGGAGCTCTGATCAAAGCAACACCATTTCAAGTTCCTTTAAAGTGCCCGTGGCTATCTGGGATTCAAGCTGCAGCATTTCCTTGGAGAAAAGCATTTCATGGACAAGCCATCTATGAAATGGACATACACCTCAAATGGAAATAAACGGAGGGGTCAAACCTGTGTCATCCTGGGTTTCAGGGTAGCCTGCCCATGGCCCATGTCTAATGGGGTGGGGTTATTAGCATGTTCAAACCTCTGTTAAGGACAAACACTTCAAATCAGATCTTAAGTACAAAGATCTAACCCCATCAGGAAAGCAGACGCTTGTGCGAAAATCACCTCTGACTGCAAACACTACCAGGTATACAGTCAGCTGGGGCGGAGAAGGCTCTCACCTGAGAACTCACTCAAAGCCAGTCTACACAGCGCGCTTCAGGCAGATGGGACTGTATGCAATGGGTCTATGTTTTCCTTTGAAAATATTTCTCCCCTAGCTCCCTGTGCATCTCACTTTAGAAACACAAGAGGAAGAGGCAGGACCAGAAAGGTATTAACCCTAATACCAAATATATCTCCCTCTCTGCATTATTTTGGACCCCTAATAACACAAAATTTCATCACTGTGAAATCCACAGGATTATCTGAATTCTCTGTAACACTGACGTTTTCTTTTTTTCCAACTGTGTTTTGAAAAACCCAAGCCACAACGTGGGGTTTCTCCCTGGTCTTTTGGGGGAGGGGGGCAGCACTTGCATCCGCTGTGAGGGCTTGCATGCCTCAGGGCCTCAATGTGCGTGCCTGGGGGCACTGCCCGTCCCGGGGCCACAGCCTGACCCCGAGATGCCCCCATGTGACTAGCCTAGCCTCACTTAAACTTCCAGTGCCTGGGGCAGCAGCAGACTTGTCTTGGTCCCAGGCAGTTTCCTTCACACGTGCAAGGAGGTCCAGCGTGATATCCGTCACGAACGCACTTCACGCCGGAGAGTCACTAAGGGTTAGTAGGAGGGCATGTGCGTGCCCCCTTCTGCTGATGGCCGTGTGCTGGACTCGACGGCTCGGTGGCTGATGTTCCTGGCCACCTCGATTCTTCCAGAGCCTCAGCCTGAGCGCCCAGGGGATAGATACCGCCTTACCTCCCTGAGTCACAGAAACGGAGCCACATCACGGGCAGGGAGGAACAGGGTTTGTCCTGGTCCCAGTGAGACCTGGCACGGGTATTCTGCCCTCCTGGGGACCCTGCGAGACAAACCTGATCACTGAGCTCAGGAGCTAAAGCAGCAGATGTGGCCCAGCCGGAACCTGAACCCCCCCTGGTCTGATTTCAAAGCCTAGCCTCGCTCTTTCTTCTCAAAAAAGATCACCATTGACATGTCGAGCCTGGACACTCAGGCGAGGTCTGCCGGTGGCCTCCGTTGGGAGTTGTCTGCTACCCTGGGAGGCCGGCGTCAGCCTCGCCAGTGCTACGGCAAAAGGGCCAGGCCACGAAGGGACACACCGCTTTGTTTTCAAAGGAAGGGTTTCTCTTAGATGTTAACACAGCAAACCCAGAATTGCTGAAAACCACGATCTGACTGGGTCGAGTACAACACACAACCTACACACTCGCAGGGCGCCTCAGGTGGGCATCACAACTCAATCTTACATATGCCAAACACACCCAGAGAACCCCCAGACCCCTAATCTATAGACCGCACAGAAGGCAATAATCTTTCTTCTTTCCTTTAAAAAGGGTGGGTGGGAATCACGTGACTATCCTAGGCCTCTGGGCTCACGAATGCCACAGCCTCCTCTCATCCTTTCTGTCCCTCCTCACCCTCCCCACATGAGACCCCTCTTCAGAGTACGTGGGCCCCACGGTGGTCTAAGGGACGTTCAGCTCAGAACAAATATGGAAGCTCACCGCCTCGGGCCAGGCTGCCTTGCTGACTTCTGGCAGAACAAACTGTATTTCATTCCTACCAAACTACTTGGTGGAAAACTTTATTCCGGGGCAAAAGTGCTCATTTCAGACACGAACAAAGCTATACAAAAGTCTCCTTGAATGGCTTGGGCTAAAACTCAAGCCCGGTTTCCTCCCCCATGCCTGGTGGTTCCCAGCCAGGGCCCAGAGGGTACCGAAGGCCATTAAGCTAGTTACCAAAATTTCAAACAGTCCCACGAAATTAGGATTTTTTACTCAACATAAAGCAGTCAGTCCTAAGCAGGACTAAGCAGTTTTCTGCACTGGGCTAGATTTGTATCGGTTCTACATGATAAAGCTGGTTCTCAGTTGATTCTATCTGTTGATTAGAAGTTGGTTAATGAAAGTGCAAAAAAAAAAAAAAAAGTACTAATTTCTAACTCTCTGAACAGCCTCCAAGAGGCATCACATGTGGCTAAGGCAGGTGTCTGGGGAGGAGCGTAAATGGTCAGATTTTCAACTCTGAGGTTTCAATGTTCTAAAATAACAGAGATTTCTGCCTTCTGGGACTGAGAAAAAGAGCAGAACTGCAGGCAGTGGGGTCAACCACAGATAAAGAGGCCAGAGAAAGTGGCAAGCGACCACAGGACAGGAGAATGGGGGTTCCAGGCCCGGCTCAGCGAGCCTAAAGCCTTGTATGATTCTGCCTGTTTCCTCCGCCATGCCCAGGGTCCCTCAGCCCCGATTCTGTGGCTTTGACATGCAAATGGGTCT